CGGATGCGGGCTTTACCTCAAATTCACATGGAGCCGACTTAAGGAACAGACATCCTCCCTGGGCCTTCAGGCTGAAACACCCTAGTGTCGTAGGAAGCAGACGACTGCTATTCCAAGGCTGTAGAGCAGGTGGTCACTGGATGTTTATTAGAATCTGTTGCTTTGAGGGCTCCCAATGACTGGTGGCGTGGGACTGGAAGATAGTTATGAGTTTAACGTTCTCCTGGGTTTCTATATTAGTCTGGTAGCTAAGGGGCTGCATTTGAGAATGAACGTTATTGAACACTCTGTCCTTTCCCCAGACCCTGTTTTTTGTGTAAATAATGTCCAGCCACTTTAGACTTTAATCTGGAAAGTCAACAATTCAGGCATTGCAGTCTGAAAAGCCAGCCTATACTTGCATGATTTCCTTTTCTCAACAGTGTTTTACATTCTATGCCATTGACTAAATTAATGACACTATCAATAGAATCACCTTATGCTCCAGGGGGTGATTTATAATAATAATGAGTTCGCTAAAGTGAACAAGAGTCACAAATTAACCATAGACATATGAAGGGACTTTGGACTCAAACTTAATTCTAGCTTCAATCTAAGAACAATTAGATCTGATGATATGGCCCTGCTTGATACTCTCCCTGATGAAGAGATCAGTGAAGGTGTGGGTGCTATAGCAAAGTGTGGTGAGAAAAAAATAAAATCCAGATGGTGCCCAGCTATCAGAAAGCATAGCATTTGGGGTCTTAAAGACTTGTCTTCAAACAAGCAGCCATCTAAGTGGGGCTTCAATTATGTCCGCATTGAAGAAGAAGATCAGCCTGGGTGACCCAAGGATTATAAATAACAAAGTCCAATTCTGAAGGAGGGAACAGATCAGAGTTTAAATTCTGAGTGTCCAGTTTGCAAAAGGTTATCTATGGACGAGAGTGGAAGCCCCAAATTCATTTGCAGAGTCACAAGGATTAAGCTTCTGGTGATTCACCTCTGACCATAGTCTAGTGATGTGGATAGCCTTACCCTCACACAGAGAGGATTGTAACATCGATTATGGCAGAGAGTGTTAGTTTAAAATGTAACAATTTATCATTTGACCTCCCCTGTGACCCACTTTAAACTTGCTTCAGTTTTTAATATTTTTGGCTTCCTTTTTGATTGAGGTTTTTCTGTTTTGTTACTGTTATTGGTTTTTGTTGTTTGGTTCCCCTTTGTGTGTGATTTTCTGTATATGAAATACAGAACAGGTGAAGCTCTAGGGGCAGTAGCCAGATTAATACTTGCCTAGGGGCAGGGCAGGGAAGGCTGGCGACCATAGGGCACTAAGAACCATGAGTACGAAAAGAAAATGCTCTGAAATATGTGGGGATGACTTCACAATGCTTTTTAAGCTGATTGAATGATTACACTGCTCGATATGTGAATTACATGCCCCAAACGACATATTAAGAAAATTTCAAGCAGTTGGCAACGACCACCAGCATGAAAAGGGATTTGAAGGCTTGGCTGCTAAGGGAAGGTCAGCACTTCAAAGCCAGCAGCAGCTCCTCGAGAAAAAGACAGAGATTTCTACTCCTGGAAAGGACAACATTGGAAACTCACAGGGGCAGTTCTACCCCGTTCTATAGGGTTGTTATGAGTCAGCATTGCTCAATGGCAGTGGGTTTGGTCTGGGTTTAGGTAAGCTGGGGCTCATGGGGAGCTAAGAATCAAGGGCATAAGAATGCAGAAATGTTCGAAAATGGATTGCACAGCTATTCTTCATATCGTTAAGCCGCTGAGTTGTATGCCACATGAATTCTATGTCATAAATATTTTCAGTTAAATTAAAATCCATTTAAAAAGATTTAATCTTTTTTTTAATTTTTTTTTTAGTTTTTTTCCAGTTTATATATATATAT